AGTATCAGGATCATCTGTATAAAATAAACAGTGATAGATCGTTTAATTTTGGGGGATCAGGGATCCAAGAAATGTCAAAATGAATTTTGTAATTACGACGAAAAAAAGTTATAGTTAAACGGAAATTTGGGTATATGTTCAACGGTAGTCCGAGTAGGGAAATAAATGTATGGAGTGAGCATACTAGTTATGTAAAATCATGGTTACTAACAGTGCGTCCACCACATTGCAGGTCATTTTTGCTTATATGATGTTGATTGCCGAAGAGGAAAGAAATTTAAGTAGATTTAGATAGTTTTCTCATTACCTCACGAAGTAGAACAGCTTGCTATTATATTTTGAGTCCAGGAAATCGTAAAGAATTTAATATGCTGAATTATATATCCAAATGTATCGATGGGATGAAAATTTGTGTGGGGTTTTGTTCCCTGTGTTTTATAATATTAGTTATGAAGACACACAAAACAAGCAAAAAACAAAATAAAACATTCAACTATTCTCTTTTAGAAGGGAATCGGCAACATTTTGGCTATGGACAGCCTATTGACACCAAAATTTACTAACAAGTGGGCGATTATCGACGAGCTAAAAAATTTGGGTATATTTTCAACAGTAGCCAAACAAATACTGAATAAATGTGTGAAGTTATCAAACTAGTTACTTAGAGAAAATCATGGTTACCAACAGTGTTTATCACCATAATATAATTATAATAAATTGGAACAAAATATAAGCTGATAAATGACTAAGGGCAATTGTTACTACCAGTATGTTTATGCAAGAAAAGGACAAAAACCAGTAGGATTGGGGCTATTCTACTCCCTCATGCCACACTTATTTTGGTTATCATGCGATACAACCTCAAGATAATTGGGTTAAGCCAATATTACCCCACCCCCACCCCCACAGCGTCGACAGGAAAAATTGCGCACCACTGAAAATCGAAAAAACCTTGAAATGACAAAATTTGTGCAAGCTATGGTTGACAGGGTAAAGGTATTCTATACCCTTCATGGAATAATCAAGGTAAGAATTTCCAGATGATAATTGCTATTTGTATGACTGATATATACTATTTGATAATATGATAATGCTCACTAGATCCTTGCTATGGATCTGGAAAAGGAACAAACTCTAAATATTCAAACTGGTACAGTCAGAATAATAGTAAGAAAAAAATACATTTATTTACTGATTATAAATAATTACTAATTTATGATTACTTTTTATTGATGATCCTTTTGTATTTAAGAGATTGCTTCCTTATCCGAACTATAATATGACCAAAACTTTTGATCAAGTGAAAATTAACAGCTGATGGCCGAATGTTAATGTAGGATGAAAATAAGGGTACAAATGAGATGAGAAAATGTGCCTTGATGACAACAGTTTTCAACAGTTTTCTTGAATTATAGTTTATGACTATACTCGCAACGAACAGAAAAACCTATCTATTCTTTTCTCTTGACACAGAATGCTGAAAAACCAACTTCTCAAGATAAATTTAAAAAAATATTTGATTTGTTTTTTTGATAGTTCATCCAAAATATGATGAAAAGGTTGTTGTTCTAAAAATTATCATTGGATTTAAAGAATATCTGTGAATCCGTACAAGCTAATAATGTAAGGAACTCTATTCCCTCCCGCCACTCTTTATTTGGTAATGAGGAGGTATGACCTCTATGGCAAAAATATTTTTGTTGACAGGTACTGCGACAGATGCAAGAAAAACACTAAAACCGGTAGGGTTAGGCCTATTCTACTCTTCCCGTCCACACTTTTTTTAGTTATGATGAGATATGGTCTAGAAAAGAAAAATTGCCGACCAATTAAAATAGAAAGAAAACTCGACTTTCCGGATCAATCAAGCATGGAGAGAGTGCATCGTACACCCTTCAAGGAATTGTGGTAAGCATTTCTGAGAACACTCAAAATCAGTGTATAAAATGTTGTTGTGTTAAACAGTTTATCTTTTCTTTGCTCGCATAGATTCATCAAGGCAGAAATTGCCATACTGGACATAGTCATCGTGAGGTATGGCCGCCTCAACAAGAAAAATTGCCTACCAATGAAAATCGAAAGGTACATTTTGTTTTGTTTTGCATTGAATCCACATTAATTATAATATTTCATTAACCTACATGTAGGAACTTACTATGTAATATAATTTTTGTCTAATTTTTCTGTTTAAAAACCGACTTATTTCTCAAGATAAATAGAACAAATTATTTATAATTTGTTTTTCTGATATTTTCATTCAAAATCCGATGAAAAGATTGTTCTTCTGAAAATTATTATTTGTTGATGCTCAATCAAGTTATATGAACTGGATTTAAAGACTGATATCTGTGAATCCATACTAGCTCATACTGTAAGGAACCAGAAATAGATTATGACAGTATGTCAGGGAATAGTAACCCAGTTGAACACTGATCACCAGGTGGTATGACTCATCTTATTATCACAACTGTAACTCATTACTGACACTTAACTAACGCATCTCACACAAGCATACCTGAATTTAGTTACCCCTGCACATCATCAATATTGCAAAAATGATGAGATTGAAGGAATTCCGATGCACTGTCTTAATACTTTACTTGGGAGTATTTTAGCTGCCATAGTTAATTCTAGTCTCATTTGGTTACAAACAACGACCTGCAAAAAAATGAAGAAAATTTCAACATTGAAAAGATTTGCAGTTAACTTGCAATAGATTAATTAATGTATTGAGAAGTTAAAAGTACCTTTAGTCAATGCTTGACGTTTCTCTCCTTCTGCTAACTCCTCACTCCAATTTAAAAAAACTCTCGAATATGGGATCATTCAGTAGAGGTAATCTTTTTGCTAATGAAATACTTCATGAGAAACCATGAACCTCTGTCTTGATATACATGTAATATTGATGATCTTGCTAGAAAAGAACACAGAATCAACATCATTTCATTGGTGAAAGATTCCTTTTCAGCAGTTTAATATATTTAAAATTGTTATCAAATTCATTAATAATTGACTGATTGTTATATGAGCAAGAGATTTGTCTTGATTTGCATACGACTTTAGCTTCAATTTTCTCTTGAAAATAATACTTCATTTCGAAGTATTAAAGAAAAAAATATGCTTTAAATTAATAGCTTATGTTCGAATTTGACCAGCAATATAAACTATTTGCACCCGACCTTTAACAACTCGATAACTGGCCAGAAAGGTCTCATTCATATTTTACATTTATTACATAATTACCTTCATTCTCAGTTGGATACTAAACAGAAACCATGAGATCCAGGAAGTGTATTTATGCCACTTATATAAAAACCATTACCCACGTTAGATACATGTCTTTTCTAAAAAGAGAAGAGAAGATAGATTAATGATGAAAAATAATTATTGATAATATCTGAAGTATTATAAATACCTCAATTCTGTTGAGTTAGGGTAGTAAACAGAAACCAAGGGATCCAGGAATTGTATTGCACTTACAAAACCCTTGTTACGCATGATAGAGATGTCTTTGCTGTAGAGAGAGCAGATAGAATTAGTGTCTAATAATAATAAAAAATTATTGATAATATTGAAGTATTGTTATTACCTTCCTGGAAATAATGGAGATTTAGCATCCAGTTGAAGTATATAATATTCTTTATATTGTAGGTAGAATGGATTTCAACAAAAGCTTTAATAACTTTATATGGACTTTTCAGCAAACTGAATGCATTGCACCAATGCTGATACCCTGCTAAAGTTTGCTCCAAGCATTTTCCAGTTTGTGGTGATACATGTACACTGTAGATAGGTATATCCTTTACTTTTGTACTTAAAATAGTGCACAGGTCCTTTGTTGATTATCGATTAACAAATATCTAAAATGAAGAGAAAAATATTGAAGAGTACTGCCAGTACTGGAACATTATTATTTTCTTCTATACACTGCTACTGAATTGAAGTTAAGTTCAAAAACTAATTATTATATTCAATATTATGCAGGGGTATGTGCACTGCAAACATGTTATGAAATTATAGCATCATGGTTTCGGTAAGCTGATACGTTTAATAGTTTGTGGTAGCAGTCTCCCCACCCCACCCCCTGCCCTCCTCTTTTCACCCCCACCCTGCCCCCTCTAGCTATTCACCCCCATTCAATGTAGCCGTTGAAGGTGCTACTCTAGTTTGGAATTCATACTGAAAAACTGCTGCTTTATTTGGCGACAGATTCTATTGCTCAAAGACCTGGCCAAACACAAAAGAGAGCACAAGAAAATGTTATTACCATAACCTTGAAAATTGCATTTTCTCCGAGTATTAAAGTTCTTTGCGTAAGAGAATCTGCTGTCAAATAAGTAAAACAGCGGACCTTACTCACTTTGAATTAGAAAATAGAGTATTCTGTACTTTTGCACGAATTCCTATTATTAACCAGCTTCATAATACACAACTCGATAAAAGACTTGAGGAGAGTATAAGCTTACGAAAGCAAAAACAAGAGTACGCACTCTAGGTTCTTGCATGGCGTACCACACAGGTTCCAAATAAATACTGTCCAAAATCTGCCTACCTTCTGGTATTAGCCTCTATAATTTCTTATACATATTCTTTAAAGATAGATGCAAAAGCCTTATCACAATAATTTCCAAAATTTGAAGTTGTAGCCCATGCAAATGCTCGATATACCTCGTTACAAAATATCCCTTGGAGTACATGCACGCTTCGCGCCATTTCCAAGCACGCAATGAATGCTGGGATTGTCAGGAAACCCACGTGACATGGTATGGCGCGAAGTTGGAAAAGCTCACTCCTCACAGCAGCTACTCCTCACTAGACTGAAAATGTCCAAAATTTAATGTATTTATTTAAACTCATTTCAAACGTATTCCTTACGGTATAAGAGTCGAAATTTCCAATAAACTGGTTATCAAAGTCCCCCGTCAAAGTCCGGCTAACACGTGTATTTTATGAGTGACATGGTAATTTATACCCATGCCAAAAAAATTGTATCACTCAATTACAATTTTAGGCATCAAGTTGTATTTAAAAAACATTTACCTTTAGAGGTGCACTTTTCTTTTCCTTTTTTCGCTAATGCTGTTTTTTTTTTTGCCTCTGCCATCGTATCCTCTAACGGTAACCGCGTCGATGCTCGACGAGAGAGCTTCGCCTAGCGCCGTTCGACAGCTTGAGAAACTTGTCTTTTATGACATATTTTTCCTGTCGAAGGAAAAAGAACTTTAATGTGTATTCATTTTGCCGAGAGCGAAGGATATTCATAAATATAAAAAAAATGCGTTTTAAAGTATCGTGAGGGACTTACTTCGTTCTTTAGTCTTTTCTTGCAATTCTCTTTCCAGCATTTGCCATTAGTCCTCTATATAAGAGTATTTAGCTTTTCAGTAAAAGAAATTTGTTGGATAGAACTATGAACACTTCTACATGATATAAGAGCACATGTTCACCTGAGCTCAGCTCGACCCCGAGTGAGCAACGTGACGACCTTTTCACAGTATAATGCAAGTGCAGCACGCTGGAATGAAATTGTTTTGAAATGTTTTGTTTCATAAGAAGCAGCTGACGCTTGACAACAAAAGGCCATCGATCGAATTGCATGCATTCCTTCCATCTACTTTTTGCGAGTCATGAGAACAAAATGCCTTCATCAAAACCATGGATCATAAAAACTCGTGAAGTAGGGCTGATTTCTTTTCCCTGGTGGAAACCAGCCCACTTTATATATTGGACGCACGTAACCATGATTTAATCATATATGTTGATTGCACAATAGAAACAAAGGGATGAGAACGATTCAGCACATTTTTCTAAGCATGTTTGCGTTTTTGCGTTTCAAGGAGTAAGTGCAAATGCACACAAATGTATCTCATTATTTCGCTGAATGCTTGCAATCAACACTTTTTCATCGGTAGACCTTTGTTCACAGTCTATAGTTGAGTGCTGAGATTGTTATTCCTCTTTTACTAAAACAAAATGGTTGAACCTTTCGCCAACAACTTTATTTCAAATTTTACTATCGTTTGGCACAAGGAATGTTATTTACCGGCTGGGAGGTCAGTATGGAAAACACTGCCCGAGGTCTTGACAGTATGGAACGAGCGCAGCAAGGTCCGTACACAAAAGACCGAGGGCAGTGTTTTCCAACCAATAGCCGGACCGACCAATAGCCGGTAAATAACATTTTTATTTCAGTTTATTTGCATTTTCGGCAACTTTGCTCGCAGCCTAGCTGCATACCGTCGGAACTAGCAGATCGTGAAAAACCGGACCGCACGCTAGCCAATCACAGAGAGCGAATGACTAGGATACCGCAAGAAAGAGAGCAAGAAAGAGAGCAGTACAGGAAGACAAGAGTCGAACAAAAGATGATGAGCTTGAAGCCCGCCCTCTCAATATGATAAACCGACGAAAAACTCAAGGTGCAATGGTGAGTCACGAGGTTGCTTTATATATATTTTATAGTTTTTTCTCGCCGCAGTCGGCGAATACATGCATGTTTTCTTTACTGTTTGAACCTAGAATATCAGTTCAACAATAAATTTGCTCTGTTTATAGTCGTGACTGACTTTCACCAGTGAAATATTTCATCAATTTTGCGCAATTTAGTCCAAAGAGCCCTTGCTGTCCCACTTTGCTATTTCATGAACAAGAGAAGGAGACAATATAAAGTGACTAAAGATCATGTTCTTTGATAATGTATTACACTTTATAGACACATTGAAAAACAATAACATTTTATCAAATATAATTTCAGTACAATTTGCCATGTATTCAAGAAAAAATATATAAGTTGTTGAAGATGTTTTCATATTATATAGGAATATTATATGGAAAATATGACCTCAGAAAGCTAAACACGAAGAGTGGATGTGCACTACACTAACTCATCCTCAGTTTAGCCACTTCAGAGACATCAGATATCGCATTGAAATGCAAGATACAAAAATCCTTAACTCAATTTACAACACATTGCAGCTTTGCAAAGTTATTGCATGTTTCATATTTTTCACATTACCTTACAAAGGCCCTGAGAAAACCAGAAATACTAGACTCTATCTGAATGTTTTGCGACAAGTTGAGGAATTTTGCATCACGCAGTGTCACCATCACTTCAGCAGAGAAATGCGCGTACTCCCAGCTAAAAGTGCAACATAATTTACAAAATAATGTCTCTGTTTAAGTAAACTTGGATGCACGTAGTGCAAGACTGATATGCAGCACTGACAGATACACCTCAGTTAAAACTGAACGTTCAATGCCGGAAACAAAAAGGTTTCATCATTTGCAAGCTAACCCGAAAAGAATGGGAAGACATCATTTCATTCAATGAATATCAATGTAAAACACTATTATTGTAAAGGATTTAATATCTACAGATCGAAAGAAATAAAGATAGAATCATTTGCAAAATTCACTTAATCTGATAAAAACAAACTGACTTAGAACAGGAATCAGACGCATGCCGACCTTGCAACACTTTTGTTCAATGGTACCCTGCTAGTCCTGGGTTAATTGATTCCCAGAGCATGAACTTTTCAGATCAAGTGAATTGTCGCATTAGAATGTCTACCTTTATTCACTCATGGTTATTTGTCTTCCAATCACCTCTTTCGGTAGTTGTCTTCTTTGAGTGATGAGGCCATTTAAAGCCAACTGTGTATTCTGATCAGTAGCCAAGTAAACCCCTTTGCAATCTGTGGTCATATAACACTCTAAATTCATTATTTACATTAAATGATATATATTATTTACATTATACTTCATTATATTATTGATTTATAAGAAATTAATATTATTTACATTATATAGTATTATAGCCACGAGACGAGTGAATTTCCAATACAAGTGAATATCATCTTAGACCGTTTGATAAGGCTTCTTCTCATCGCGATGACAGCGAAATGGAACTTCTTTACGAGATAAATTTCTCCAAATACAAGGTGTTCACTGGACATTTTGTTACCACAAACACGCCTCCAGGAGTTGATATGATAGAAGCGACGTATATCAACTGACTGAAGCGACTGAAATCCCAAGACACTCTACTTCAGTAGTGTGTCATTCCAAGGCTCAATTTGTTTTGAGTGAAGATGAATGATCACAGATACATCCCAGACCAACACGCACTGGTGTACGAGCTCCGTCTGGGCCATGGTCGGATGTGCTTCAAGATGACTTGAAAGCCAGCATGCCGTTATGTTCCTTCGGTTTCAAGGAACTATGTGAAAGCTGAAAATTCGCGTAAAAGAAATGCCATATTTTTCCAAGGTTGGTGCAAGTGCAATCACATGGATTGTAATGTAAAAGCAGAACTCAAGATGCAATCAGGAGCATCGAAAGTAGTCGAGGTACTACAGATCCTACAAATTAAATTAGAGACCCAGAGGCGATTTCCCTGATCATTTGAGACCTGAAAAACGCCATGTCTCCCTGAAAACAAACAAACAAACAAAATGTCTTTAAAAATGTGTCTGAAAATTATTCATGATTATTGTAATAAATAGGGGATATCACATGACAACATGAGGATAGGACATTGATCACGATTCGATTCCAGACTGAACTATTAATACTACCTCAAGGTCATAAAATAACGAAAATGTGATCTCTGATCCCCAAAACGCGGATCCCATATATAGAGGATATTACAAATGTCTTTTGAAATGTTTTTTTTGTTGTTTTTTTTTTTCTTAATTCAATTCCACTATTTTCACTAGTGTCAATGACATGTTAATCATTAATGAAAGTTACAAACTTTACGAAATGGTAAAATATAGATATCTCATAGATAATTAGTATAGGGAATCGCCCAATCTCTTGTAATTTGGAATTGATAGTCACTCGTAACGAGCCCGATTTTATGGTTTATATGATAAACCTCGTTACTAGCCTCGCTGAACATCTTAAAAATGGCAAACATTTCCGAACCCCCCTAATACATCCTCGCCGTTAGCCCCCCTCCCCCTTCCCCCCAATTAAACAAATTCACGCTCCGTGGTCCCTGATAACCCCTTACAGCGGGTTATAATTTTTGCCATTTGTGTGGTGAGTCGAAAAACACCGCACTGCACACCTAACTAACCGTCGTGACACTAATAAACTGAAACAGTAATAAGTGATATAATATTATGCAATACTCAGTCTCATATAATAATTGTACTTACCTGGTTAAAATCGATCGTTTTGCCTAGTGTTACATATTTAGCAAACTGTTGAAAAAAAAGCAATGCCGTTAGAACAACTTGTATATACCAGTCCTTATTTTTGAAAGTGAATTACCTACCATACACAGGAACACACCGCAGTCATGCGAGTTTCCTTGCAGTGGAATATTCTGCAAAAGAACGAAATATGCACTCATAAGCAATATTGCAACACAAAGGAATAGTACACTCTAAAGGTTTTTTTTTAACACAATTGTAAATTATTTTCTATGATTGGTCGAGCCGTGGTCAATAAAAGTACATATCACTGTCGCAAGTTGTTTCATTTTTTGGAACGGTGTCATCTAATAACTATAAATGTAGATTTTTTGCAGTTAAAAAACGACAAATTTCGATTTCGTCTCGTGGATGAATAACAATTTTTGAAGTTTCGATGACGCCAACCGTGATAAACAAGAGGACATGCTACGAGAAACTATGAAAATCAAAATCAAAATCAAAATCAAAATCAAAATCAAAATCAAAATCAAAATCAAAATCAAAATCAAAATCAAAACGAAGATAAAAATGAAAATCAAAATCAAAATCAAAATCAAAATCAAAATCAAAATCAAAATCAAAATCAAAATCAAAATCAAAATCAAAATCAAAATCAAAATCAGTCACGAATTATGTTTTCTAAGGCTACTTAAACAACTAACCTTAAACTTAACAGAAACCCAATTATTAACGTCGAGTGGAACGTTGAATTCAGCCACATGGGCATAGCACAGGAGTTCCCTGTCGATTGGAATAGAATACAATTACAATTTACAATTAACCAAATATTGTTGTAAGACTACATTTTCAGCTCTTTTATAATCTCCCAAATGATTTTATAATCTCCCAAATGATTTTATAATCTCCCAAATGATAGGAGAACACATTCATATTTATGTCTTAGAAAAAAATACCCCCAAAAGTCTTATGAGAGTTGGTAGGTTGGGGGGGGGGGGGGGGAGGGGGCAAGAGACTTTACCCCTAAAAGGTAACAGGTAAAAATGATTAAATTTGTCGTCTAGCTAAAAGATATGTTTATCATCCCCACCCTTCGATAAATGTGATCCGGTTTATGCTCTTTGAATTTTTATGAGCAACTGAAGAAATACAAGTCAAATACTTACAATACAGAAGATATAACATCGGATTGTGGATCTCCCCCTAAGGAATCGTAATGTTCTATTGCATTTGTTTGCGGCTTAACAACCTGGAAACAACACAATCATATGTATAGCTCTAATCTGTGACAACTGAAAACATATCCTGGTCCCTGTCTAATTAAAGACAAGCCTCTGGAACCAGGGTACTTATAACGTAACACTCACTAGCAACGGTCTGAAAAGTTCAACAATCAAAATTTGCAAATCAATATACTACTTGCATTATGGCGTAACATAGAGTGGTTCTCATTAACAAAGTGTGAAACAAAGTGTAATAGTCAAAGTGTAATAAAGTGTAATAGCCAAGAAATATAATAGAAAACAAAAGAGACAAAGTGTAATAAAGTGTAATACGCTAAAGTGTATTTCACGGGTTAATGAGAACCACTCTAGCTACAGCTACCAGAGTGTGCCTTGAGAATTTTTAGTTTTCAATTAAGATTTTTAATCGGGATTCTTAATGAAAATGATGATTGATTAATTATTATAAAACGTGATAAAATAAAGTGGACATGGTCTTGAAGTACGTTAGTGCTAAATGATTTCAGAAAATGATCGATATGTTTATAAAAAGAACTTAGTTTGGAGATCGCTATAATGAAGGTAAGAGGTTTACCAAAGCTTTACGCTAAAACTCACCAGTAACGTCCAATGGGCGTCTTTGTTGATGGGGCACAAGACAAACTGGCATTGAAAGAGGCGATGATCTCTATTACTGAAAAAAAGTGGAATTCATAGTAGGCCTGAAAAGTGGAGTACAAATGGCATTTTCTATTTTTTTATGTGTTTAGACCACATCCAAGTAAAAAAGAAACACACAATCATATTATCAGTTTTGCTCAAGTGTCAATCCAATTCCCAGTTTCTAGTCTTTCTCTGATTCTTGTATCATGTAAAAGTCTCAGTACGTCCCACAGGGAACTCAATCCTATTTTCCCATCAGAAGTTAGGGCTAGCTTATACAAATTGAATGACCAGTAATACTCCCGGGGTAATACTACTTGTTTATTACCGTTTGTTCTTAAATATTTCGTCAATACATGCCAGGCTTGACTTCTCGGTTGTTCTCAGTTTTTCTATGATCAAGCTATTGAAGCAATGTGCTTTAATGCCCCTCTAAAAATATTAATTTAGAATACCAACATTAATACTCAATGCTATACTATTGTTCACATTACCGTGCTCAGGCCTATACGGCCGGAACGGCCTTAAAATGCAAACACATGATGTAAAGTTGTGAAAAAATACTACAGTACGATTACTTTATCTATAGCGCTGTTAAAATCACATGGTAAACATGGTGTCCGATCACCTCCTCCACACACTGCAGCGCTTATAGAAACCTGCAGTCACAGATTTACTTACATTTGCCGCCTCCTTTATTATCATGTCCATGTAGTCATTTATTATCTGCAAGTATAATGGACAGCATTGTTAGTAATCAAAAGAAACAAACAGTCTCCAAATTATATGTGACCCGATTCTCTTTCAAGAAGGACATATTTCTGTTCAAACTACTAACAAAATCTGTAATTAACTGCAGTTGTCGGTTGAGAAAATTTGATTGAATATCACAAACCTCGTCATTAAGCCATTCTGTCCCATCCAAGCATCTGAGGCTGCTTTCTTCTTTCAATATTTTGGAAACCTATATAATGACGACAACAAAAACTTTAACAACATTTTAACAACAAAAACTTTGTTAATTGTTTTTGATAAAACGCAAAGTAAAATTCTCGACAAACGAACCTCTTCTTTCTTGTTATTTTTTTTGTTTTTTTCAGGCTTCTAAATAAAAACAATAATTCATTAAAATGACAACCCAGAGAAAGATAATTTTTTGGTTTATTTGTTTATATTGTTCCCATAATTCATCAGAAACAATATAAACATTACATTACAGCACAATCAGGAGAAGGTCTTGGTGGCCTGAGGCCGGTGAAAACCTTTATGGCGCTTCTCGAAAGTTGTCCCGTCCATTATAAAAATCATTGATTATTAAAATCGCTAGATTATTTATTTTTAGCTTTAATAGAATACCTCGATCTTTAAGTTGTTGACCTTGGATGCTGGGATGTCGGGTTTCTATAAGCGGGTCAAATATATATACATATTAAGTTCAAAACCATGTTATTTGCCTTGTGAAAATAAGTTTTCTACATACCATCACCGCCGATACTTTCTTAAACCTTAGAAGGTACCAGTCCTTCTGCAAGTACAATATATAGAAAACTTATAGTCAAATTACTTGCATTTTTTGCACAAAAACCTCAGATTCAGTACAAACATTGATCGAACTGGAAAACCTTGAATTAATGCAGATATTACTCACTGCCAAAAGGTATTTAGTATAGGTGGAAATATATTTAATGAATGTCCATATTCACCAGAGATGATAGAGTTTCCTTTTTATAATGGCCAAATAAACAAGAATGGCAGAAAAGTTATATGAGAGTCTCAAAGGGGGGTCTGCATCACGACTCACGGCTAAAAATTTGGCTTTTTTACGCCTCACGGCTAATTTTTTCGCATTTTCACGACTCACGCTATTTTTTCAGCCGTTTCACGGCTCACGGTTAACCCCATTGAGACCCTTTTATATCCCGCTCTCCTCCGGAGTCCCTGGTTTCGCCCGTGTAAGAGAATCCGGAATCCAGTGAAAAAACAGCTTTGGAATCCGGAATCCCTATCCTGGAATCCGGAATCCAACTATTTGGAATCCAGAATCTGGATAGTTAGGAAGATTGCTTTTATCGGTGAAAATCTAGCTGTCTAGAGATAAAAACCCACATCCAACTGATATGCTGTACATAACTGTACTTTATATACGTAATTTGTTTGTCAGCGTGCAACAAATATATATTGGAGACAGTGCAAATTAGTGACACGCTACCTTGCGTTGCCGGCGCCCTGCGCACTGAAAATCACGCAATTTAATTTATTATCTGGAATCCAAAACAAAAATTCTTTGGAATCCAGAATCGCCAAGTCTTGGAATTCGGAATCCTCTAGTTGTCTGGATTCTCTTACATATACTTCATAATTAAATCTGAAGTATTTCAATCTTCTTACCTTGACAGTTGTGGAACTTAAAAAAGAATCTTCAACATTTCCCACATCTTCATCATCGCAAATATGCCATATGGCATTTTCATCTTTGCATAAAGCTGTGTCTAAAGTAAGCACATTTGAAATTTCAACGATTACGTCATGTAGCAAAGCCCGCTTTCATGTTAGCAAACCAAAGCCAAAAAGAGTTAATATCTAATACTTCAGATCATAGTTAGAAGACTAACTATGTTCAGATACTTACAATGGCCTTCTTTCGCGTGTGGGCCTTGATGCATCTACAAGGCATGTAGAAAGTAGTTAGCTTTGACAACAAGATTTTGCATGTAACGTGTTGGAATTTCTTACCACGATGCCTTCCAGGTTATATATAAGGCTTTCTCCATTGACGATTGTTTTTTTTAGATATGTTAGATCTAACTCCCTTTTGAATACAAGAAAAACAAAGGCGTCAAAATCGAAACAACATCATAGTCGTGGCTATCAGCAACATGCAACACTCAACTACAAAACTAAAACGTTTTGGATCAGAAAAAATATCAATTATTACTATACAAACAAAACCAACCAAACCGCAATAAAATCACACAAAAAAAAAACAGCCAACCAAGAAACATGCCAGCCATGAAACATGTCAACCATCTAGCCAATCAGAAATCAACCAACTTACTAAAAAATGTTGAATAGGCAACTGACTAAATGCAACGTTTTGAATAAACTAATAAAATAAAAGAACCAGAGAAATAAGAATGCATTAAGTTTTTGTTGAGGTTATTTACCTTGGAAATTCGACTGGTCTAGAATTTTTCAGACCAGTCGACGTATAACGTTTGAGTGATATGAACAAGCACTCAGGTGGCGCAATTATTGTGTGTTGGCCCTTGGTTTTCTTTTCGCATTTGTCGCAAGTAAGTCTTTAAACAAAGAAGAAATAAAAACAAAGCTATATCATATCATGTATACTGATTCATAGTGGATACTCACGTTTTAATGAAAACATCAATCATCATAGTGTATAATTAGATATGACCATCTAAATTCACTAGTTCATGTGTTTTTAATCTTAATGCATGAAACTTGGCAGGAATAATTATTGACCAGTAGTGTATTAGTGTAGGGGAGTATCCAGGATTTTCATTGGTGGGTTCCGTAAATACTAAATTGTCATATGGCGTCAACATGATGTCATATCAATGTATGATTTTCACATTTTTTTGCCTTTGAAAGGAGGGTCATAGACACCCTGTTACCCCCCTGGATACGCCCCTGTAGTGCAATGAACCTCAAAAACCAAGTATAGAGGGGGGGAGATATCAAGAAAATCAAGTTGATACAAATGTTTTAAGCATTTTAGAGATTATATCGTTAAATCAGCTAGTCATTAAATGCTTAGCTTGGGTCGCTTATGACCGAACAAGAAATTTTCTCAAGACCGACGTTGAGTTGATATCTTAAAGAACTTACATTTTGTCGCCAAAGTATTGATCCAACGAAAGCTGTATGTTTTCTTCCATCTCAATGGATAGATCCACAAATTTTTCAAGTTTAATCTCCTTCAAGAGAAAGAAATATTTGACAAATAGCTCACGGTTTTGAGCTGTCATGACAGTCTTGACGTCATAAAATGATCAAAACTCAAGTGTCCCAAGAGCGCAATTAGACGACATGCAGCTCAAATCCGTGTGAATCTTTTTTAACGCATTAAGTCTAAAAATTAGCGAAAATCATACTGAGCGTGCGCGCGATGTGATGGTGTCAGCACTGTTACTCTTACTCTAATCAACCAATCAGCGCGCGAGAATGTACACAAGTGTGCTAAAAACTGACTTTAATCTCAATACCTGGTGTTCGCATGAAGTGCACCTTTTCACTAAACAAAATTGCCCCCGAAATGTCTGCATGTTCACAGGCAGCTGTAAAGTGAAGAAATAAGAAATTAGATCAATATCACATTGCATGCATCGTGAGAGGTCTGCGTGGTGGTCTTGTTAGGTAGAGTCACCACTCATGGGGACTGCTAAATGCTGTATCAATTCAACCTTCACTTTGTTCAATTTCGCGTCCACACGCTCCGGTTTATAGCTGTGTTCACAGGTAATTCTCCTGGAAGAAGGGCTTTCTAGATACGTGTGGACTATAAGCTTCATTTCTCTAATCAGCTAACTAGACAATACCACGTATTATAAGGAATGTCAGAGCATGTTCAACTTTTTACAAACCTTGGCAAAAGCATTGTTCAATAAAATTAAAAGGCACTCATGCGCGTCCTGCTGTAAACCAGCCTTGAATGTCTTATTGAAACTGTTCAGAAAGCTCTACAGAAAAAAACATTAAGAATCTGTCAAACATGGATATATACCAAAATGCATAC